CAGCTTATCAATATCATGCCAAGATCATTTTATACTCAGTATTATAGGTAGGTAGACAAAAGTGACGTTTAATATATAAGATAAGTATCCCATCCCCAATATAACAGACATCCTTGATAAACTGGGCAAGTGCCAGTACTTCACGATCTGGAACTTGGCGAGTGGATTTTATCAGGTACAAATGAACCCTGGTGATATTCATAAAACCGCATTCAACGTGGAGCACGGACACATTGAGTTCATGAGGAGGTCTCAAGAATTCTCCATCAACCTTCCAAAGAGTGATGGATAATGTCTTGAGAGGGCTTTAGAACGTCATTTTCCTTGTATACCTTGACGTCATCGTTTTAAGTACCAGCCTCCAAGAGCACATGGTGAATCTTGAGAAAGTGTTCCAAAGACTGAGGGAATCTTACTTCAAAATCCAGATGGATAAGTCTGAGTTCTTGAAGTTAGAGACGGCGTATCTTGGACACATCATAAGTAGGGATTGCATTAAGCCGAACCCGGGTAAAATAAAAGCAATTGAGAACTACCCCTTGACTAAAACCACCAAACAGTTTGATCAGTTCTTAGGATTATTAGGGTATTATCGTAAATTCATCCCGGACTTTGCCAAAATTACTAAGCCCCTAACTCAGTGCTTAAAGAAAAACAAGTCAAGAAATACGATTCGATAATATTAGATTCGCAATACGTAGCATGTTTCGAAAAATGTAAAAAGTTACTAACGATCCCATATTGCAATACTCAGATTTCACCCGTGAATTTATCTCAACAACTGACGCCTCAAATGTCGTCATCGGTGTCGTTTTATCACAAGGGCCCATAGGCACAGACAAACCAATTGCCTATGCCTCTCAGACCCTTAACGAAAGTGAAATAAACTATAGCACAATTGAAGAATAATTGTTAGCTATAGTTTGGGCCACTAAATACTTCCGGCCTTACTTGTTTGGGCGAAAGTTTAAAATAATGACCGATCATAAACTACAGTGGCTTATAAAGGACAATGTTAAAATTGGCCTAAGAACCAACACCAATTTGGCATCTATGATAATTCGTAGTATATTTTTTGCGATAATTATCAGTATTTACATTTTGACGGACACTTCCAGTTAGGTAAGCTAAATTAAAAAGTTAAAAAATAATCTGAGACAATAAATACCATTTTATGTGTATAATCTATGACAGCGCTGCAAACAAAACACTCTTTCTTCCTAATGCCGGCACTTCACTTGGCAATTCGTATTTGCTATTTTAAAAAATGACATCAGTCTGTCCTTTTCATTCCTTATTAAGCATGACAAGGACAAACTGTTGTCAAGTGAAGGGCCGGCATAAAACTCGTTACTCTGTGGTTGTTGTGCTTGCAGTTTGCATTCGTAGTAATCTGTGGCATTCGTGCATTCCAAAGAGTAGTATAATTTAATTAATATACCGATAAGTGCATTCTCGTTTCAGATTACCTGTTGTGTGTGTTTATTTGCGGTTGTTTTTCCTTTAACTATTTCGGCTATCTAATATGCCATCGATGTTACCAAAGAGCAGAGCCCTTATTACCAAGTGCTAGTGAACCTGTGCCACAACATCCTGAGAGGATCATCATCATCAGCCTATTAATGTCCCCACTGCTGGGGCACAGGCTTCCCTATGGATGGAATAGGGAGATTAAACTATTATTATTGATTATTAATTAGAGAGGATCATACTGCCAAATTATTCAAGAACACCTGATACACATTCACGATGCATATTTACACAATATACATGTGATATACAAATAAATACAATATATATAGGGTGAAATTGAATGTTTTAATGAAACTTCGTGAGATTGTTGGGTTACGAGTATAGAGTATGCCTGATTTTTTTCGGATTTTTTTGAAGTATTTTTTTTCATGTATTTATTTATAATTTGTGTATATTTTTGTCCTTTCCTCCTTTTGAGTAGTTATTCATATTAAACAAACATGCTTACATATCCAGTGAAAAACAACTAATAAATAAGCACTTCTAAAAAACGGAAAAACAGTAAAATTCCACCGCGGGTCAACGACCGACCGCGCCCGCCAGCCGTTGAGTGAGTAGGTACGTACACAGAGCTCAGCTGACTCGTTTGATTCCACACAATACAATAAAATCGTCTTAGATGCCTTTATTGAAATTGAAATAATAAGCACAAATATCATCTTCTCTTAAGCAGAGAAAAACTTAAAAAGTTAATAATAATTTTGTCACGATTGGAAATAGGCAAAAGTTAAACAAAAAGAAATACTTATTGCAGTTCAATACTTGGGTCAGAATGAAATTTATTACCAGGTATTCAAAAGTACTTACGAGACCGATGTACCTATTAATTTTTTTCACTATAACTTCCCAATAAATCACCAAACCTACTTTCGTAAAGCCTTGTGGCTCTGCTGAGTATTCCGTGACACTCGCAATAACAACACACCATATCCAAATTACAACAAAACAAGAACTAATCAAGGCATTATTTGCAAATCTTGTCTTGTCACAAATTTAAAAGATACGCACGCGCGCTTGAGACTCCGCTCGCTCACTGCGCTGTGCACCGCGCGTACCTAGATAGGTAGGCAGGAAGGTATTCAACGGCAGGAGCGGTCATTGCTCCCGGCCGCCCGTCTCCTGTTTTTACGTCTTTTTTAGTAGTGCTTATTACTTGTTTTTTACTTACTCTGTATGCATGTTTTAAAAGAATAATTATTTAGTACCCAAAAGGAGGAAAGGACTTAAAATATAACAAAAAGAAACAAAATTTTATTTTAAATCATTTTTTAAAAAATCCGAAAAAAATCAGAGATACTCTATATACGTAAACCAACATTCCCACGAAGTTTCATTAAAACATTCAATTTCACCCTGTATTATGATACAATTATGTGAAAAATAGTCAATAAATAAGAAGCAAAACTACAGTTTTTATTTTATTCATGATTCCTACCTAACCAAGTTTTTCCTAATAGATATTCTTTAAAATCGCACCAAATAAAATTAATTAGTTGTAATATTAATTCACTTCATACTAAGTTCATAGGTTGACCTATGTTTCATTGAATATTAAACATAACTTAAAAAAAAATTTAGTCTTCCTGATAATTTAAGTTCTCAGAAGTGTCCGTCAATAATCTTTGTTTTTACAGTCATTTACTTACGATTTCGAACCTAGAAAATAATATTTCATGATTGTTGGTTCTTAGGCTAACTATGTATGGACACTGAACAATGTCCTTTGCGAGAGCCAAATTCTAGACTCACAAGATGGCGTTTGAAACTAAGTGAGAATGGTTGCTTTCCGATTACAGAGCATAATGCGACTCAGTGCCGCACAATGATGAATTATGCTGATGCGTAATTGGAACGAGAATTAGTTTTCAAATGCACCAGCAGAGTGCGCTAAGTTCAGTGTTGAAAAAAAAAGTCAATGTTTGTACCTTCATCCATACTTATATTTATTTTTTAACAGTTTAAATGAACTCTGATTATTTAAAAAAAACTATTTAATGAAACGAAAGCTTTAATAATTTTTCAACAATAAATAATATTACTAACGATAACATATAAATAAAACATTTCGATCAATGCCAACTTAAAGAAAAAACACTTGTTAATTTTCTGTCTCTAAGTTGGTACGATTGCACGCATCACACGAAAGCATCACTTTTGAGAGTGCTCAATCGTGCGAAGCGTTGTTGTAGTTGGAACACTCAACGTTAAGCATTATGCCGCATAATGCGCTATAATGCTGTAATTGGAAAGCAACCTATAACTATACCATTCTTTATAAAATAGGAAAAGCAAACACCAATGCCGATGCCCACTCCCGTGTAGAAATCCATAGCGAAGAAACTGACTCCATGGCTGTGAATCTCTCTGAAATTCCACCCTCCATAGGTAACAATTCTGAAACTGATACAGTTCATACTGACCAGGAACATCCCATACTCTAGGTACCAATAACCGACGACCCTTTGAATAACTTTCACCGACAACTTTGCTTGACTATAGTTTTTCGACTTTAGGTGTCGTTATTAGCAACACACTCTGCAACGTGCAGGGCGACAGGAACAATCTAGGAACCAAGGGTAGGCCCCTGCTTGCCTACACACATCACGATTAAGGGTCATCCCCACTCTTACACCCTAGATTGCCCCTGCGGCAGGGATATCAGTTGCCCGTATTAGTAGTTTGTGGGATGCTCTAAGGTAAGGTAAGAGTACGACCACAGTGCACGCTGGTTCAGAATCAGGCTCGTGAGATGTCAGTTTGAGGAAAGCAGGTGATGACCGCAGTGGAGGCAGATAATACAAGACGCGGATGCGAGACGCGCGATCGTAACAATTTAAAGCTAATATATTATTTAAACGCAATCATTTCATGGAATGATCTAAAAAAGATCTCTTGGTATGTGTTGCCTGTTGTTTAATTTATGTTTACATTTTATGCTATACTTTCCGTAACAATTATGACGACGCAATATATAATAATAATAATATAATAAATTATAACAATATATTTAAGAGGTAACCAGACAACGACACACCACAGATTGTATCAGTGTTGCCAGGTCCGATTTTAAAAATCGGGAGGCGTTACTGGAAGAAAAAAGGTATGATTATATTTTTCCGATTTGCACCAAATCAAAATATAGGCCAGTAACGAATGCGTTTCTATGGCTTTGTCACCCCTCACAATTCGTATTTTTCGTAACAAAAACATATTTATTGTATTTTTTTTTAAGGTAACCTACATTCTTAATGGAGGAAAACGCAACTCAACATGCAATTTAAAAAAGAAAATTGTATTAAGAAAATAAAAGCAGTAGATTCATGTACAGAAGCAGAACAACAGGAGATCCCTTGTTAAATCGGGATTCGTTACTGGCATATATTTTGATTTGGTGCAAATCGGAAAAGTATAATAATACCTTTTCTCTTCCAGTAACGCCTCCCGATTTTAAAAATCGGACCTGGCAACACCGATATAATCTGTGGTGTTTCGTTGTCTGTTTCCCATTTGTACTTTTAATACTCTTTGGTTGTCTGGTTAACCTTGCTACATAAATAGTGATCTGTGTGGTTAACATTTATCATTGGGTTACCTACACTTTTACAAAATACATTTACAAGGCAAAGAAATATCAAGTTGATATTAATTCATTAACGTACAGTAGGTAGAATAAATATATGTTCATGTTTAAAATTGAAAATGAGCATGACGATGAAATCGCCTTCTGAGGAATCGGGTAAGTTCACCAAGTGAAATAATATCTACCACGTTGTTTGTTATTGCATTTGTGGGAATCCTACAATCGAATAATATGTGACGTATTATCTACAATTCCGAAAACCTAGATGTTCAATTTTGTATGTCGTGACCTATATTTGACTTCTTTCTTTTTAGGCCTGAAAGTGGAGTTACTATATAATCATATATACAATCGTGTAAAAAACATTGTACTGTTTAAAACATTTTTATTTTAAGCATTGTAATGCTAAATGTGTTAGTCTAAAATATACTACAAAAAATTTCACACTGTCCAGGCAGCAGAAGTGACTCCAACCCACACCCTCCGCTATCCAGGCAGATGCACTGACCAATTATAATATTTTACTGTGTTAATTTTAACTTATGCAATAAAAGTGCAGTTCTGAAACGCCACTGAGGTTTTGGTCAAAATGACTGTGTAGGGAATATGTGTACCTTCGATAATGTTCCCTACATTTATTTAAAGGAAACTATTAAATGTAGACTGATACTTTATTTGCCTTAGTTAGTTAGTTAGTTCTTCAGGGCGGTTTCCATGCTTAGTCCTAATTATTGGACCATTGTGCGTGTCTCAAAAACATTACCGTTTACTCCAGCCAGCCTATATCGGTCCAGAAGGAAAGCAGCCTTGGTAGACTTCTGCAAACTTCCTGAAACGATTCTGGCGACTGGAGAAGTCGTGCCCGTTGGTCGGTCACACTCCTGCATTCCATGATGATATGCTGTGCCGTTTCTTCTGCCTCCATGCATCCTCTGCATAGGGGTGCTGTCTGTCACTCCTATTGTATATAGGTGTTTGTTTAGGGGACAATGACCAGTCAGGGATCCTATAATTCTGCGAAGTTTGTCCCTATTTAGTCTGGTAAGGGTGCGGGCAAAACTTATTTGTCACCGGAACCATGTTTTTTGTTTGCCGGCATCCTTCACCTGTTTTCCACTCCGTCAAGTGTGATTTCTGAGTTATTTCACGCAGCCACGTTTTAATTTGGGCCTGAGGTATGGGCAGCAAAGGTTCCAGACCATACACTTTTGTGTCTGCTCCCCTCTTAGCCAACTGGCTAACTACGTCATTTCAAATTGAGCTGCTGTATCCTTTTATCCATTGTAGAGTTACCGTGTTGCTACCCGCAATGGATTGAAGTGCCATGTGGCACTCCATTACTAGGACAGAGTTTATTGTGTTGCTACGTAGGGCTTGAAGCACGGATGCACTGTCAGAGATGACCCTGATGTTATACTCTCTGATATCTCTGGCTGCAACCGCCTGTGCTGCTCTGGTAATGCCTATACATTCCACCTGGAAGATTGTGCTTTGTTTGCCTAAGGTTCTCTATTTGCCTTTGTTTTACATTAACCTCACTGGGAACATACTCCACATGTATTTCACCTTCAGTGATGAGTTCTCTGACATAGTCTTAAACCAAGATGTTTAGTTCTTCTGTGGAGTTCCGCGTTATGTGAGATCTTTATAGCGGCATCATTATCCACCTTGAGCTTGGGAACCTCTTTTAAATCTGAAATCTCGCTAAAAGTCTTTTAATCCAGACAATCTCTCGTGTTGCTTTATTTGCTGCGACCAACTCGGTGCTGGATATTGCTACACAGGTTTGTCTTCTATTCAGCCAAGATATTACTCCTCCAGAATATAAGTATATTATCCCTGATGTCGACCAACCAGTGATATTTTCTCCACCATGGTCAGAATCACTATAACAATCCAGAATGCCAGTATTGAAATTCCTCTTATATACTATTCTGTAATCCACAGTACCTTTAATATATCTTAGGATACGTTTCAGCTTATGAAGATCTTCTATACTGGGGGCGTCTAGTGTTCTAGATACGACGCTAACAGCATAAGATAAGTCAGGTCTTGTACTGACTGTTAGGTATGTAAGCACACCAACGGCTTCTCTATAAGGATATGTTATTGGATTCTGTTCTTTATTGCAATCTGCTATTCCATCTGTTTGCATAGGAGTACTGACAGGCTTGCAGTCGCTCATTTCAAATCTATCCAGCAATTTCTGAGCATAATGTTTCTGAGACACTCTTATGTTTTCATTTGAGATCTTTATTTCCAATCCTAGAAAATATGAAGCGTCTTTGACTGTGATTTTGAATTTTCTCTTTAGTTCTAGTATAAACTTATCAAGACTCCTTCAGATTTGTATAGGCAATAAGGCCATCGTCCGCATATAGAGCGAGAATAATCTTATTATTATCTTATCTCCACGCTTTCGAATAAATAGATATGGATCAGTATTACACTGCTTGAATCCAATCTCCAAATAATCGACCATACATTTATTCCAGCAGCATGGAGCCTGCTTTAGACCATATAGACTTCTTTTGAGTCTACACACCTTATTCGATTCGTCTGTATAGCCTTTAGGTTGCTTCATATAAATTTCTTCATCTAATGAACCATACAGAAATGCGGTAGAAACATCAAATTGCGTGAGTTTTATTCCTTCATTTGCAGCTACACTTAAGACTGATCTTATCGTTGTCATCTTAGCAACAGGACTGAATGTCTCATCATAGTCGATGCCCTTCTTCTGTGTGTAACCTAGAGCTACTAACCTAGCTTTGAATTTATCAAGAGAGCCATCTGCATTGGTTTTATACACCCATTTACAGGCTTTCTATCTTTAGGAAGATCAACAAGTATCAATGTTTTGTTCTCCTTTAAAGACTTCACCTCATTCTCCATTGCTTTGACCCATTGATCTTTCTGAGGACTCGTCATTTCTTCGTTATAGGTCTTGGGATCATTTATTCCATTTAGTACTTCCGCTGACATAATGGCATAATCATCGAATCGAGTAGGTGGTTGTAGCTGACTTCTATCTCGTAGAATCATTCTAGGTGTTACCTCTAGTGAGTCATCTGAACTCTGTAAATCATCAGCATTGTCAACATCATTATCATCGAAGGCTTCACAAGTTGATGGTATTGATGGTGTTATAGCTGGTGATGGTTCAGTAGGGTCTTGGCTTTCTTCTTCCTGACTTACGTCCAAACCAAGTGATGTGGAAGGCATAGCTAAGCTCTGCTCTTGATGACTGTTTGCTGAAATAGTCTCAGACTCAGTGAGATTACAGCTTGCATTGCACATTGGTGGTGTTGTAAGCGGTATGGTGACTTCGATTGAAGGATTGCTCTACATCGTTATCTAATCCAGTCGACTCCAATACTGATTCATCAAAGATTACATCTCTTGACCTCACCAACTTACCATGCTCATTCAGTAAGCGATAGCCTTCATCACCTTCATACCCAATTAAGATACATTTCTCTGTCTTCTTAGTCAGCTTTGTTCGCTTTGGTTGTGGAACGTGAGCGTAACATTCACATCGATAACTTTGAGATTATTAATTGCTGGTTTTTTTCTTAAACAACAACTCAAATGGTGATTTACCATTTTCTGATGTTGGACCAGTTCTGTTCAGCATGTATGTAACAGTATTTATTAACTCTGCCCACGTAGCTACGGGTAATTCTTGATGAAAGTGCATCATTGTACGAGCGGCTTCGACCAAGGTTCTGTTCTCACGCTTGCTTACGCCATTTTGTTGGGGCGTATAGGGCATTGTGAGCCTTTGCCTTATGCCTACTTATCTGATAAAATGCGTCTCACGTTCTCATTATCAAATTCTCCTATCCGTTGTCGCTAAGGAATTCCTTAACAGAGTATCCGGCCCTATTGTAACATTTGTTAGAATTTTAAGTGAACTTCCGATTTATGTCTCATTAGGTAACGTGTCGATATTTACTGTAATCATCTTTGAACAGAACAAAGTATCTAAATTCATTGAAGGAAGGAGATAAAGGACCACACACGTGAGTGTGTATAATTTCCGCAGGTGCTTTAGCACGTTCTCTAGTTCCAAATTTTCTTTGGTGTGTTTTTCCATAAATACATCCGGTGCATAATTCAGAAACTAAACGAACTTTAATACAAATTTCCCTTTCAATAAGTTCTTTGACGTGTTTCTTGTTCTGGTGGGCTAACCGTTCATGGTAAAGTTGAAGCAGGTTATCTGATGACACGACGTTCAAATCTGGGGTTGACTTTCTGATAGTTTCGACATTGAGTTTGTATAAACCTCCATATTTGACTCTTTTCCCAGTCAATCGTATTTTGCCATCGACTTTTAGTGAACAGTGTTCCCTTTCAGATATAAAAACACTGTTGTCTAATCTGTCTTGAGCAACCAGCACAGAAAATAAATTTCGCATTATATCAGGTACGTACCTTACATCACAAAGAGTTATCTTTGATTCTTCACCATGAATTAACGCTTTCAAGTTAACTGTACCTTTTCCAATAGCCTTTACAGCAGTTCCATTAACAGCAGTCAGTGTACGAGCATCTGCAAAACGTTGGAAACTAGTGAAGTAGTCCTTGCGACAGGATACATGACTTGTTGCACCATTGTCGACGAACCAACTTCTAATGTCATCGTTAGACCGCATTGAGTACACTTCTGGCGTTGTAGTGACTTGCATCAGCATTAGATTGATGTTAGAGTTACTTGATGTTGGTTTTGATTCAGGCTTAGATGGTTTACCGTCTGATTTCCATTTCTGGCATTGTCTGACTTTGTGACCAACCTTTCCACAATATCCACATTTCTTTTTATATTAAATTTATTCTTATTACTACTATGTACAATGAGCGCTTCTGTAGAATTTTCGTTCTTCAATGAAATCGAGCGTTTGTACGCACAGAGTTGCGTTGTCTGATTTTCTATCCTAGTTCTATCTGACTTTGACATCAACATCCAACTTGATTTGAAAGCAAAATAATTATCAGGGAGTGTATCCAGAATTTTACAAATTAAGAAAATAACCGGTAATTCTCATTTTTCTGTTTTGACAAGTTCACCTTTCAAATCTTACCATAGTGTTTTTATTTTGGAAATGTGGGTTGTAATGTCGTGAGAGTGATCTTTACGATAGCTGAAAAACTCCATACATAAGGCATAACTTTTATCTTCCGACGTACCATCGAATAAACGATGTAGTTCATCCCAAACGTCTTTAGATGAGTTGAAGCGCATTATTTTCTGTAGGGTTTCATTCTGACATATTCGCTGTTAGTAATAGTTATGCGGAACTATCAATGTGCTTGTATTTATCAAGAGCTTTTTGATATTCAGAAATTCCTTCAGCGTTATTAATAGTGGACCGGTTTTTCTAAATTACCGTTAATGGCATCAAATGCACCAGGCATACCTCGTAATAATAATGTAGCCTTGAATTTCCATGTAGTCATGGAAGTGGTGACCAATATCAATCTTGCAACTTGGTGACTGCATGATGAAAATATTGTGTTACCACAGAATGTTTTCCAAAAAAAATGTTGCTTATCACAAGCTCTGATTTATTCCATAAATTTTAAGGCACTGCTACCATGATAGAACTATTATCAATTAATTATGAAATAATAAAGTCGGCATTCACACTTACATTAAAACAAAAAGGGTAGATACGGTACGCTCATACTTGCATCAAACAAAAACTGATCCCACTTTACTACATATTAATATGCAACACTCACACATCCACCTGTTTTTAAAGATATAATCGATCGAACGAAACAGCAATTTAAGTTTCAACGGCAGCGCGAACGGGACGGCGAGATCCGCGTCACTGCACTACCGACCAATCACGCGACCAGTACTCGACGTCACTACCGAATAAGATTCAAAACAAACAGCAATTTTTATGATAAAATATATTTTATAGTAAGAAATGAAAAAATGGTTTTTATTTCTAGTTCTTGAGCAATTTGAGCACTTTTTAAAAACACACCTATTCATTGTTTTATCATATAAACACAAAATATTAGCAATATTTCTTTTTGACGTTCACATGTACGTCGTTTGCATGTCAAGTTGTGAGTAAAGCGCTGCTAAAGCGATTAGGGTCGTGGACCACAATTTATGCGGATCACTTTTGTGAGGCTAGTGCCGTATCTACCCTTTTTGTTTTAATCTTAGCATTCACATGATAGATCAGAATAATATTAATTAAAATAGAAAACAATTTGCTATGACACGACACATGACAGATTACAAAAATAGGGTTAACAAAATTATAAAGAGAATTTATCAAAAGAATATAAACTTCTTTAACACACACCTTTGTGTGTGAACAATGATATTTTTTTACACAAACATTTTTTTTTTCTGGATATATATTTAATCATCAAACCAAAAGTATAAAGTGGTTTCACACAAAATATATGTAATGTTTGCTTGATTTTACTGAATTAATGAAAATTGGAAGGGCAAAATCGAATCTGCATGCAAAGCTATTCAATGCTTTATCATATCATGGTATAAGTTATTTTTATGAAGTTTTGTGGTATAGGAACATGTTAAATAATTAATTTTGATATTTAGTTTTATGTAGGTATATCATAAAATAAGTTTGACATTTTAGGTGCCTGAGGTTGAAAGTTGTTATTTGAAACTTAATTTATTTTGTTGTGATTAGATCTGGCTGATATGAGAGAGATGAATAGGATTAAAATAGTGTATACCTGTTTCTGATTTTATTCGAAACTAGTGGCCTGCCATTGTTTCACTTCGGTGTAGAATATAGTTTTTGATGTAATATATAGTCTATGACATTCACAAATAATATAGATTTCTTTTCTTAAAAGGATTCCCAAAATTGGTTCTCTTGGTCCAGGTTACCCTTGTTATATCCTATATTTGCAAACAACATATAGACCAGCGTCGATAATTTATGAGACCAAAAAAAATTATAGTAAGGTGGAACCCATTGGAAAAGGTAGAGAATGTAACAAAAATGAAAGGAAAAATTAATAACGGGCGATCTGAGGTCGGGAAGGGAGAGGGGGTGAGTTTTTAAGGGTAAAAAATGGTTAATCTCGATTTCCGGTAAAACTGCCAGTCCTATGAAAAAAAGTTAAATGGCAAAGTTGTAGGTAATAAAAAGATCTACAACTTTTGTATTGACACTTTTTTCACATAACCTCATAATTTATGTGAAAAATTCGAATAACCGAGTTTTTGGTTTTTTATTTTTAGGCAAAAAAAAATTTTTTTCACGAAATTTAGTGAAAAGGTAAGTTACCTTTGTATATCCCAAACATACAGTAATTTTTTTGATTAAAAATATTCATTTTTTCACCTTATTTTGACTTAATATCAAAATAGCACCCTAATTTACAATCGGAAATTCTCACGACAAAATGTCTGCTTTTTTAAAAAAGTTGGTGTGTTTTTTGTTTTGAAATCTCTACTTTCTGTTGGTATAAAAAAAATATACACTACTATGGTAAATGTTCTCAGAAACTGCAAAATAATAATGTAAAGAACTCGAATCTGAATTTTTTTTAAAACATTATTTATAATTTTTGTGCTATTTATTAAAATTTACACTTTAATTACTCGATAAACGTAAGATTTCATGTTATATTGATAAATAAAAAAAAATACAAATCCATAAAACATGCAAAAATAGTTGTAAGTATTAAAAATAGGATTTAAAATGGGATTTCATCTAAAAAATGTGAAAGCTGAATTTTGTTTTTCAGTAGTAAAGTTGGTCACACAGCTATATAAGTAATCTTAAAATAGCAATAAATAGTTAACTACGCATATAATTTAAAGAAGATTCGAAAACTTTCTGAAAATGTTGTAGATGTCTTATTAAATATTAACTTTATGAACTTATTTGGTTGTTAATTATAGTAGTATATCTCGATTAGCATTTTTTTTTGTTTATCAATATAACATGAAATCTTACGTTTTCGAGTAATTAGTGTAAATTTTAATAAATAGCTCAAAATTATACATAATAATTTAAAAAAAAAACGGGTTCGAGTTTTTTCATTATAATTTGCAGTTTCTGAGGACATTTACCATAGTAGTGTATATTTTTTTTATACCATCAGATAATAGAGATTTCAACAAACAAAAAACACACCAACTTTTTAAAAAAAGCAATTATTTTGACGTGAGAATTTTCGATTGAAAATTAGGGTGCTATTTCGATATCAAGTCAAAATAAGGTGAAAAAAATAATATTTTAAATCCTAAAAATTACTGTATGTTTGGGACATACAAAGGTAAGTTTTCACTAAATTTCGTGAAAAAATATTATTTTTTGCTAAAAATAAAAATAAAAAACCAGAAACTCGGTTATTCGAATTTTTCACATAAATTTTGAGGTTATGTGAAAAAAGTGTCGATACAAAAGTTGTAGATCTTTTTATTACCTACAACTTTGCCATTTAACTTTTTTTCATAGGACTTGCAGTTTTACCGGAAATAGAGATTAACTGTTTTTTACCCTTAAAAACTCACCCCCTCCCCCTTCCCGATCTCAGATCGCCCGTAATTTATTTTTCCTTTCATTTTTGTTATATTCTCTACCTTTTCCAATGGGTTTCATCTTACTATATTTTTTTTTCACTTTACCATTTTTAAAATTATCGACCTTGGTCTAATAGTTAAAAGGGCATTAATAATTTTCGATTATTAAATACTACTGTTTCGTTTGCCCATTTTGCGTTTTTTTTTTGTAAGGGTGGGAGAAAAAAATATTGAATTAAAAGAGCTTTCAATAAAATTATTTGAATAAACTATTATTTCATTACTATAATACATTATATTGAACAACATTATAAAGTAAACTTTATTTCAGGAAATAAACAAACAGTAACGAAGGACAGCTCAATTATTTTTAGACCATCACCAAATTTCAAACACATGAAAAAATATCTGAAATCAAAATTTGAGGAAGATATGAATATGAATTCGTCATCAATGGGTGACGAAAAATATGTAAAGGAAATAAACAATAAAGTCAATACAGGGGTGCTGCAACCTCCCCTCCCCCCTAACTCCCCCCCTCCTGACAGTACTCTTACCAAAGTGAAGCAAGAGGTTGTGGATGATGAATACGAAAAAACCACTGACGAGACTGTCAAAGAGTCAGAGCCAATGATAGTTAAGGACAACACACATAAAATAGATTGCAAGAACCAAAAAATGTGCAGAGATTTTGTGCGTAATGAGTGCATAAGAGGTGCTTCATGCATGTATGCTCATGAAATCGATTTCTCTCAACTCGAAGGGGTTTACAAGTTTTGTAGAGATTTTGAAAATGAAAGCTGTAACCGACCCGTATGCCATTTCGTGCATGCCACCACATTTGAAAAAGAGCATTTCTTCCGCACAGCGAAATTACCTCCACACACATTGGTACACATTCCAAAGAAAAAGAAAAACGAAGGTGGGTATTATTTCCTCATGGGTCTATCTTTTATCACAAAACTTTTAAGGGTATGATTTTATCAAACAATAGCATTATCAATGACTTGAAAAATAATATTTATTTAGATTTTTCCATTTATTTAGGGAAATGATCTATTTATTTGGATCAGCCAGATCTATTATTTCCTATATCAATCTAAAATAACTGTATCTGAGATACTTTTTAAAGAACAGACCTCAAATATGAGGTTCCTTTGAAAGTATATCACCTCATGAGAAACGAAAAATTTCTCATGAGGTGATAATTTCTGATAAAAATATAATGTACATCACATAACTTGCCAATTAATAAGTAAATATTTTTTAGGTCCTCCAGAAGTGGCACCCGTTTTCCTGAAGCCACCACCATCATTGCCCCCAAGGTATTCATTTATTTGGTTTAGACCCTCATTAAAATTTATTTGGTTTAGTCGCTTGTATATTGAAGTACACTGGACTCTACAGAAGTCCTCAGTATAATAAAACTAAATTTTGGTGGTCGAGCTGTGGATGGATGCTACCTGAGCCCGAATTTAAAAAATTCATGTATTCCGCCCACTCACCCCGCTCCGTTCATTTATCATACACTCGCATATAAAATAAGTTGTTGATTCTACAAAGTTATGCCATTTAAACACAGTCCCTTCACGTTGAAGTATTGTTACATAAGTATCATACAAATTAATACCGTTAACTACGATGTCTAGCTAGATGTAAAACTATGTACGGTGGCGATCAAAAAATGTTTACCAGTTTTAAAATTAGATTCTATATCACACTTTTTTCACTAAAGTCTAAAATGCCATATCAAGTAACTTATTAACTTTCAAAAGTTATTATGCAATATGACGCATCGAGAATAACAAAAAGCATTATTTATTACTTTTTGATATTGAAACTCAATATTTGTTAAAATGACATTTACAAAAAAATGATTGTTCAAACATTGTTCGGACAAGAGCATAATTTTACGAGAAAAAATCATAACGAAATAAAATGGTAAGTTTGACCCTGGAGCAAAGGGCTGAAATAATATTTCTCTTCGAAGATGGACATACTATTAGTGCTATATCACGAGAACTCAATATATCGCGATTCACTGTGAGGTTTTGGATACGGCGCCACGGCGAAGAAGGGCAATTAACAGATCATAGAAATAATTCAGGACGACGACCAATACTAACCGCCGCGCAAATAACAGAAATGATTCGTTGTTACGAAGAGAACGGTTTCAGACCAACTAGTTATTTTGCTGCTTTATATGATGCGTGTGCTCGAACGATCCGACGAGCTTTGCACAGTGCTGGACTACATTACAGACACCATGCTATTAAAGTGGAGCTGAAACCTCACCACAAAACAGCCGGGCTTAACTTTGCGCGACAACATCATGATTTTGCTTGGTCGAATACTATATTTACCGATGAGAAAACCTTTAAATCAAGCCAAATCGGAAGATTAACTTTATGGCGCTATAATCGAACTCGGTATGATGAAGCACATATCGTTCCTCAAAACGAGTCAGGTCGCATAACAGTAAACTTATGGGGGTGTATGAGCCTCGACGGCGTCGGAGAACTGGCGTCGTTAGAGAAAAGGGCTACTGCCATTAATTATTTGTAGATTTCGGCAGAAGTGATGCTGCCTACTGTGCGCTGTGTATCCTGCAACAGAATTCCCGCACATTACTTATGTTCAAGATAATGCACGGATACACACGGCCCGTGCTATTATAGCGTGGTTCAACCTGCACTGTGACATTTGTCCCATTCAATGGCCCGCTCGGTCTGCTGATTTAAACCCAATTGAAAATTTATGGGGGCTTATGGTTCAACGCTGGGACTGTCAAAATGAAAGGAACTCTCATGATCTTAGATCACACTGTGCTCAAGTATGGGATGATATTAAAGGGACCGATCTATGCGCGCGTCTTGTTGCATCTATGCGACATAGACTACGTGTCGTCATAGCTGCAGAGGGAGGTTATACTAGATATTAAAAATAAAGATTTTTGAAGTTTCTATTTTATTATTTCTTCATATTCTTAATTAAAAAACTATTCGTTTTTTCAATTGCCTTCTATATTTGTATGACTTCACGGCTAGTGCAGTGGTCGTCGCCTACTGCGCAACGGGTCGCGGTTTCGATTCCCGTACGGCACAGAGATTTTGTATGGCCTACAGATAATTTGTCCTGGTCTGGGTGTATGTGCAATGTGCATGTGAGATTATATGTGTATGTGAGGCGAAGTGTTTAAAAAATATATTTATATATATAAATATATCTATATCAAACCTTGATAATAGTCAATCCATCTCCGAGAGCGATTGATTGTCATATCATTAGAAAAAATCTATGGTCAATCAAATTATTATGAAATAGACATTTAGAACTTGTGACCTAAATGTGTGCATGCAATTTGATCCTTAAGGTGGTAAACATTTTCTGACCGCGACCGTACCTGCTTAATACCTTAGAACCTGATTATATTTAAAAACTAAACGTAAGGTTCCAGGGCTCCATGGAGTAGGGGATTGGGTCAGATTAGGCAACCAACATGCGGGCCATACGCTATTGACATAAAAAAAAACCTTTTTTAATTGTAATGTAATAATCTTTCGATTAAAATATGTCATTTTCAAATGACTTTAAACACCCATTCTAATTGAGCTGGATTTTAAACATAGGAGTGAAAGGAAATAGGCACCGAATTGAAGCACTTGAGTGTGTGCGTTGATTGTTTCAGTGTGGGTGTAGCACCTATGGCCCCTCCCGCGCCGCCTTGCCCCGCCCCCCTCAAGCGCAAGTGGCGTGACACCGAAGACTGTACGTATCAACACATATTACAAGTTACGGCCTGATTATGGCAAGCTTCTCGAAATCTAAAACTAAATTTGACAATAGGATGTCCTTGTCATGCTCTATACAGAATGAAAAGGAGACCCTAATGTCAAATACAGTCTTAAGTTTAAAGAATCTTTTCAGATCAGAATTCGTCGAACCGTGGTTCACATATTATATTATTATAAATACACAGTGCTCATATAATAGCTTCTTGTTCATTGAGCAAATATAATGGTCGTACAGGATCAGTATAGTTACTACTGTACCCCTAGCACGAACCAATATCGAATTCGTATCGTTTGCGAGTCCGAAATATCATTGTCAAATGTGTACTGATTTTTAGTTCTCGTTACGTACTTTGTGCCGCTGCTGTTTCCATACAAAATTTGACATTGACCTTTCGGTTTGCAAACTATTCGAATTCGATAATGGTTCGTGCTAGGGGTACTGATCATTATTATTATTCAATTTAACAAGAAATATATAATTATAGCACCATATTTTTTTTTTGAAAATCCCCACTAAGCTAGCGTTTATTTGCTCATTGCATGGACTGAGTATAAATATTGTCTACTGCAATTTGCAAAGCTGCCTCCCACTGACCCACGCGAAATAATAAAATTAACACAAGTGCTTTAACTCAAACAAAATTTTGATAAAATTTTCATGAATTATGTTTCTAAGGTTGATTTATTATTTGTTATTTTACTCTTTTTGGTCACTCTCTGTAAATTTGATTTTACGCCATTTATATAGCATTTACAAACTTAGTTCAAATAAAAAAGTACCGATGGAACTCTGCGAACAAACATAGGAACAATACAAAAGGGGAATATCGTTTCACAGAAATGAACAATTATTTCCCTAATAATGTTAGTGTTAAGTTTGCTGCTGAGACGGAAAGTCAGAACATGAAACCTCGACCACATGTGACGAATTTTGACAGCTTCGTTATCATATCGCATCGTTAAAGTTTTTGTGAGAACTAAGCAACGCCCCTGCCGGACGTAAGAACAAACTACAAGCTATAAGTTAAAAGAAAAAACTTTTAACTTACAGCTTGTAGTTTGTTCCCGATTGTATTAAAATAATTCTAAAATATTTTTGTAAATTGCATAACGAGCATAATTCAGAACGAGTCAACGGTAAAATTTCTTAAATCAAATTAGTAGCATACATCTTATGTATGTATAATAGTCAAATAGTATTATAGTCAAATAAAATTAAAAAATCCTTTTTGCTATGGTTTGGATAGATACTCGTACATCAGATAAGTTTTCCAACTTTAAAATGTTCAAAAAACCTTCATCGTAATTATAGGATTGCACTCATATATTTATTAAAAAAATCCGGTAATTTTTAGTATACTTAAACCCAAAAATAAAATAAAAATCATGGTCATCTCCTATTTCAAATGGGACACACCCCTCTTTCATTATCTCTCTGCCCGTTATTAGAGTAAAAGAATGCAGTCCTGTTACCTACCTATGTATAATAAATTCATGGAGTGCCGCCACTCGACCGCTAGAAATTGAATTCGCGGATCTATTTCTATGACGTGCCTTTGGCTAGTTCAGCGCGGTCCGTTGGATATAAAGTAATTGTGTCCGCGATACGCAGAGTTATCACGAAAAACGTTAATTATTTATAAAAAAGTATTTTACTATGAAGAAATCTATATATAAAATGTTAATATATTTAATTTAAACTTAATAGCGCTAACTCAGAGGAGATAAATATAATATGTAATAAAATATAGTAAAAGCCCTTTGTGGTACTGTCTGTCCGTGGTACTGCATCCGATGGAAGGGTCCTTTTTCAACTGGTAAATCATTTCACCGCACAAGTTTACAGCACCAGTAAATATGTATCGACCTCAAAGTAATATGTTATATCACCAAAATGCCTTCCGGCTCTCACGTGTAGCTGCAATCGTTGTCATCCATTAGGAAAGCCTATCTGCCTGCATAGAGAAATTAATAGGTTATGATGATGAAACATATTTATATTTATGCATTTACAGATAGACTCTGCTGTTATTGTAACGGATTACGGCCTCTGTCAATAACAAAACTGTTACATTATTTTATTTAGTGATCCTAACATTGTTTACATTGTGTTTATATCAAATACTTGAAAGGCTTGATTGAAAATAGTTCTTATATCAGCATAATTATAAAGAACTATATATTAGTAAATTATGTAATGGTAAAATTTGTGGTATTTTTCAGTGGTATTTGTGTGTTGTTTTGCGGTTGCGACTGTTTTTATTTATTATATTGTGTTGATTTTGTCTCCAGTCACCAGTCAGCTGCACAAGTCTGAAGGCAAAGAACCACTCGCAAAGAAATGCAAGCGATGTGAGCTAACCGAACTCAGGTATATGTTGCGAGCACTGCACTGCTCCGTGCGCCTTATTGTGTTACATTGTAACTACATCTTCTTTGTTTATACATTTTTTATGTTAATGTTGAATATTTTTTTAGTATCAATAGTTCGCGCTCAGCTAAATTTGAGACTTAATAATCGACGTGATGAGATCGTAATTATTGTTATTATGAATAATGATTGATGAACAGTGAATACAGTGTCACGCAGAGCGCGCTTGCTAGCGTCGCGTTTTTAAATTGTGCGCAAGTAGTGGTCGAATTCGCATGGCATTCTTTGACTTAATGGTTATTATTACACAGTCACAAATATCGCGCGTGCCCAATGTGTTGCGCGTTCAAAAATTGATTTTCATTGTGTATCCTTTGTCGAGTTTATGTTAAGTAACCATTACTTTGGATATCTAAGGCTGCCCAAATGTAAGATAAATGCTTGGATAGATATAATTTAATTAAATATTTTTTTGTATGTTGGACCACAAGAAAAAGAGAGTACATCCATTTCTACCTCTGAATAAGGAAACCTATGGAACTGCCATACCTACGAAAAAAACGTGCATACTTACGCAGCTAAACATGGCGGCTTAGTGTTGTATACTACCACGATAGTATTTAACACTTATCGATTGCGCCATATCTATCGATAAAACTTAATATATTATATTTATACGTTATATTTTAGTATCTAATTACCTTTAATTCTCTAATTTGATTAACTTATACTTTTCCGACTTCATTGAGACTACGTTCAGTTCAATATTTATTAAAATCACACTGAATTTTTTTATGATTTTCATGATTAGGTACTGATAGTATAAAATATAGTAAGATCCTCCGCATATATTGAAAAGTAAAATATGCCAAGAACATTAATGAAAAGAATAAAAAGAAATGAATTCGCTTTTAAGTATTGTATAACATATTTTAATATATTAGCTTTTTATGTGCAGTTCGTTACCTCCTTTTTAGTGAAGGAAAACATTGTAAGAAAATCAGCAAGTATAGAGATTTAATACTAGCAATATTTAAAAATCAATTCGGTTAACGCGGGGATTATATTCAATACCAATAGTAAGGTGGTAGGGTTCGCCAGTACCCATGCTGTACGCGTTGTGAGGAATCAAAGAAATTATAGGCAGGAATCCAGTATAGTTTTACAGAAACGCATTAAACAGACTATTTAACACGATGACGTATATCAGAATAGAAAAAAAAGAGATAAAATAGGTAGGTATTAAATAAGTAGGTGTTAGAAGTATAAAAATCTGTATTTATTTATTTACATTCATCAGTTTAACATTTAACATTTCTAAAAAGAATAATTTTGTTTAAGCAATTTCTAAACGAAATTTTTTCCGTTTTTTTCATTCCAAAATATCTAAACCTTATATCAATATAATATGTTTTAATTACACTCTTTATTAATAAATATTTATGATTGGCATCATGATCGCTCGAATCAGTCTCAAAACCTTGATTATTTTCGATGAGAAATGATTGATGATTTTTTCTTTTTTTGTATTTACTTGACTGGCAGTCTGAAAACAAAAATAAATCAAAAAATTAACAAATTAGATCTTTTTCTTTATTGTATTAAATGTCAATTTGATATCGGAAGCATGGATTTTTTTATACGCAACCCCCCTATGTGCACACTCTACTCAAGAGAAACAAGAATCACTTAATTATTGCTTCTCTTGAGGAGTGTGAATTGAATGTAAATTAATCAAAAGGAAAAAGTGTTTCGTGTAAGAAAATATCGATAAATCGTTCGATATAACAAAACCATCACTACAGTCAAAACAAAATACAATATAAACCAAACCGAAATATATTTTTTAGGAAAAATACATACTCAATTACTCTATAAACTATACTTTAAATGATTTTAAGTGTCCTTGACTTGATTGCACGGCTCAAAACACTAATAAATTTTAAATAAATGCTTACCGGTGAAATGTTAAATTTGGCCGATTTCTGCTTATTATTGCACCACAATTTATTATGCTGCACTTATTAGGCATTGTACACTATTGTTTTATACAATATTTCACCACAATCTTCAAAATATCTTCAAGAACAATTTTATTCAAGAACTAATGTTTAATATCAAACAGTGACAACGGAGTCAATGTTTACACCATAGGTACTTAGACAGCGGCACAATATGGCAGGCAAGGCACACGTCCCACGTCACGAAAAATGTTGCCAACATTCGCTATGTTGGCAACATTTTTGTTTTGTATACTGTTTTGTATAGAGTTGGACTGCTCTCATTGCATACTTTAGACAAAGACGCCATTATGTTAATTTTTTCGTCTTCCAAAATTATACATAACCAAAAAAACTATATATGTCATTGCAACAGTTCCATAGGTTTCCTTATTCAGAGATTTCTACGTTAAGAAGTAATATTGTTAGTCTGCCCTGCCTGCATCTGGTTTTGTACACTATTATACGATTTCATCGGTATAACACATTCAATTTACAAAATTTTGGTTATATGATGCTTTTCATAACCAAATTTTATTTTGAATTAAAGAAAGCCTACAATTAAATACACAAAATATAAAAAATCTAAATGTTCACTAATTGTTTCACGATATTAAAAACATATGAAGTAAATTTTAATTAAATCTATATTTGAATCGGTAGCACAGTACACAGCTTTTGAATAATTGAATAGGTTTTGCCCAAATAGTGCTTATTTGGGAGTATTTTTTTTTCGTATGTTAAGACGTTTTGTTCGAACTGAAATTCTGCCGAGTGTTGTTCAGTCTCTTATGTCCCATGTGTGTGGTTTTACAGGCTGCAGCACATCAGGGCCCAGGTCGCTCAGACGATGAGGAGCTCCAGAGAAATGGATGAGAAAATAGAACTCATCAACAAGAGGAATAATCGTCTCCACGAAGTGCTACGAGTGCTGCTCAAACCAAGGGTAAGTCGTTTCTACACAATGATCCCACACATTATTTTAAAAGTATTAAGAGAAGAAAATGCATTTACTATCTTCTGTCTTCAATTATCTTGTTTTTAGAGGATTTCAATAAAACTTACCCTTGTAAGTCGTTTCTACACAATGATCCCACACATTATTTTAAAAGTATTAAGAGAAGAAAATGCATTTACTATCTTCTGTCTTCAATTATCTTCTTTTTAGAGGATTTCAATAAAAAAAATATTACTTATTGTTTGTCGGATTATAAGAGCGGTCATACACGGACTGCTCAAGCAATTAGCCAGTGATCAACATTCACAGACTGCACGAGCAGTTAGGCCCGTATTATAGAAAGATTCTCAGTGACTGATCTAGTCTTGAGCATAGTTAGAAAGGGATGTCGCTATATATAGCACATAGCGATATCCCTTTCTTACTGTACTCAAGTAAAGAGCAACACTTGGTTGTCATTCTGTAATACAGACCTTAGCCAGTGATCAACATGCACGGATTGCACGAGCAGATAGCCAGTGATCAACATACACGGGCTGCACGAGCAGATAGCCAGTGATCAACATGCACGGACTGCACGAGCAGTATGCCAGTGATCAACATGCACGGACTGCACGAGAAGATAGCCAGTGACCAACTTGCACGGACTGCACGAGCAGATAGCCAGTGACCAACATGCACGGATAGCACGAGCAGTTAGCCAGTGATCAACATGCACGAACTGCATGAGCAGTTAGCCAGTGATCAATGCATGGACTACACGAGCAGATAGCCAGTGACCAACATGCACAGACTGCACGAGCAGTTAGCCAGTGGTCAACATGCACGGACTGAACGAGCAGTTAACCACTGGTCAACATGCACGGACTGAACGAGCAGTTAGCCAGTGATCAACATGAAAGGTCTACACGAGCAGATAGCCAGTGATCAACATGAAAGGACTGCACGAGCAGATAGCCAGTGATCAACATGCACGGACTGCACGAGCAGTTAGCTTGATCAACATTCACGGACTGTACAAGCTGTAAGATTCAACAGTTTGAAGCTGCCATTTCACCGCGCCGCTTACCGCTCGAACTCTAAAGCTGCTGTCAATTTGTTAACTTATAATTGAAGACATGAGTGAATGAAGGTGTTATGTCGCATATTTTTAAGCATCGGTTTTTTGCCATGAATGAAGGTGTTATGTCAACTCAGCAGTAATGGCACCTGCAGATTTCATACTTATAAGCGTAAACAGTGAAAAAAATAATGGATGAATGGTCTATGTACGCATTACTTTTAACATAATAGTGAAAGAATGTGTTGCGGGCATTTATCACTCGACTTCAATGATAAAACAGAAAATCGTGTTATGGAAGAAAGTGTTATACAGGATGACAGGAAAACTTGACCTATTCCTGGAAAGGGGTTATACTAGAGGTCAATAGCAACAATAGCGATTTTTTTGAATTTTTCTGACTTGCTGTTAAAAACCGTTAATTGTGATAAACTACTCCACTTTAAACATTGAATTGATACTTTTCTCAAAGCTGAAAAATTAGTGATCATTTTAAAAAGAAATGCTTGCCCAAAACTTTCTTTCTCTATCTTTGAAATAAAAGGACTTTCACACACTTTTTCCTCTTGCGGCCGAGATGGCTCACAGGTAGTGAGTTCGGAAATAAAAGGTTGACTTAGTAGCAAATAATCTTTATATTGTGCCCAAATACAGTTCTGTGGCTGTCGCGTCCCGGCAAGGGGGAAAATAAAGGGGGTCACTTTTTAACTACCGCCGCACATTATAATCGATGTAAATGTCTATCGCTAATATCGCGCTTAATACCTGCAAAATTAAATTTAAGAAAATGCAACTCGAAAGATTAAAATTTCAAACTGTAGTAGCTGAGAGTCTTTATTAAGTAGTGATACAGTCAATTTACAAATCTATTGCCCTAGAGCGCCTTTTTGTTGATTTTAATAAAAACAGCTAAGAAAGTCTAGGTCAAAACTTTAGTACCTTTTTGGAAAGCTTATGAAAATTCGATACAGTTATTTTCCAAAAATTCTAGGGGGAAATTGTACAAAAATTTTAAAAAAAATTGTTACTGAAGCCTATTTATTTCTGAGATTATGTTAGTATTGCGCAAGCGCTTTATTTTAAATGATCACAAATTTTGCAGCTTTCAGAAAAGTATCAATTCAATGTTCAGAGTGGAGTTGTTTACTCACAATTAATGCTTTTTGGTAATGAGTTTTGACTCCTAGTTTACTGGACTTAATTTTTTGCTAATGACCTCAAGTATAACCCTTTTCAAGGAAAAGGTCGAGTTTTCCTGTTAGCCTGTATATTAACCATAATTGATAGAAAAATATAATTCTTTTTTAACTGAAAGTATAACGTTCATAGATTATTGTTGTATTATTTACTCAGCAAACATGTTTATAAATGAAGGTGTTATGTACAGTGTTTCATATATAAATATAATATTTTTTCTAACAACATTATATACTAGAATAAAGACATAATTTTATTACTTTTTTTAAGTAGTAAACACAACAAACTTTAGCACAAATTTTCTTGAGTTTTTGTATATCACCTTCATTCACTCATGTCTTGTCAGTACTCGTTTGAATGTTAACGAAATGTTGTCGTGTACAGCGTTCGCTAGAACACGTGAACACAAACTTCCTGGGGGCGAGCCGCTTGTCCGCCGCGCCGCTCGCCGAAGACAACAACAAAGAGGCCCTACTTGCACAGGTATACAATCAAAGTGCGACAAGGATCTTAGCCAAAATGGGAACTAACGCCACCATCTTGATAAATTACATATTTTTGGTTCTCCAGTTCATATCCCCCAATTTGCAGCTGGTGGTAGTTTACGGTACTAAGGGGTAATTTAATATAACACAAAATATATAAAAAAATTTAAATAAAAAAAATATTATCAGTATACGTATTTTTCATTAATAGTAAATCATAGAATAAAAATTATGAATACTTTCACGAACCTTTGTTTAAGTACAATGTATTAAATAACAAGTATGTACATGCAACCCTTTAGAAGTTTCATTCATTATCATCCTTGTCGCACTATAAATTCTTACCCTTTCCCCCCACCTTCGTTGCCCCAGGGTCTCCACTCCTCCAAATCCGGCCCTGAGCCTTGGCCTTACAAAACGGACTGTGCGTTTTCTGACCAATTGTCAATTTACAAAAAAAAAACGGATAGGACGAAACTTAGATGAAATGTCTTTATTGTCAAATTGAAAAATTCTGAAAATGTCGCTATTTTAGACACCCTGGCCAGATAAGTATGAAAGAGATGAAGCGATAAGTCGGTCGGTCTTCTTACTTATTTTCCGTCATCAGCCTATATATGTTACCGGCAATCTGTATAATTCTGCATTCTATGCGCCTAATACCTAGGCAATGTATAGAATGCCAAAAACATGTATAAAATATTAATCATTTTGTATTTTACCTTGGTATTCAATACAATAACGAAAGCTCAGTCGGCAATGTGTGTAAAAGAATATAGCGCGTCAACTTTTGCTTCTTTTATTTATCTATCGTATAACAGGTGGCCGGCGCTTCGCCGGCTGCTGCCGCGGCACGCTCGCTTTGCTCGCTCGGCTCGCGCTAAGTTTAGGCCACAACATTAACTTAACCTAACCCACTGTGAGTTGGTCAAACGTTCATTGGTCTGTAATTCATTCGGTGAGAATTATAAATTCTGTCCGTTATTTTATATGCACCTCCTGTAAAAGGTAAGGATAATCTGGTTGCATTTCTTAGTAACAGTTGTTATTCTAATTTAATAATAAAAATACCTAGGCAACAAAGCTGAAAAAGTTAAGAAACGGAACCAGATTGTCATTACCGGTTTTCTAGAGGTAGATTATTGAAACACAGCAGGCACTCTATACAATCCTTTGGAATTGTACATTACCTATACAAAGTATAAAATGGAAAATAATATTTATAATATTCCATTCCGCCTAGATGCCCCAGACATTCCATACATTGCTTTTCCCTTATTTGGTACGCATATAGTTTATGACTTGGATTGAGACATAGGATACTTTGGATCCCGGAAAAGTGTTAGGTTCCTAGGGGATTTTCGAAAACTAAAGTTAACGCTGACGAAGTCGCGGGCGGCTGCTAGTTGTTTAAGTAATAAGTAATCGTATCATAATTGCAGTTTTGTGTACAATTGTCCGTTCGACCAAATAAGTTATGTTAAATTACACTTGCCGAAGAACTTATCGCCCTAGTTACATTTTTCAAATGAATCTTAAGAGTTCTTTTACAAAATTGCGCCGCTGCAGTTTAGGCAAATACGGCCGCGAGTCTGGCAGAGTCGCATGAGCGAGACATCGACGCGGCGATGTTCAGTATAGCGCGCTTTACCAAATCGATACTTTAATATGCAATTAGTGGATTATACAATAAGTGCAAATAAAAAAGAAATTTAATTTGAGGTGCTAAGATAGATCCCTATTGTAGCAACTAAAAATTCTAGATAGGAATCCTAAGTGGAGCAAAGGATACAAGGTTTAAGATTTTTTTCCCATTGTGAGAAAATAAATAATATATTTATCGTACCCATTGGTTGTGTTTTGAAAGGACAATAAAGATTTAATTATGATTATTTCTAATTATTGTAACTTTTTGTAGGATTTGCATAACTTCTCTTTGTTCAACATTATTTTTATTTATTCACTCAGTTATTAAATGAAAATTTTGTTCACTGTTATCGCTGAATGAAATCCCTTTTCTGAGTGGTAATGAGAAATAATATTGTGTTTTTTAGTATTGACTTTTTTAATGATGAATAATGTTTGGTAATAATCAAATATCCCAGTAAAAACTGTACTAATTGTTGTCTTTGTCTTCGTAGTTCATTTAATAAAAAAGTTTTCTCACTCGGTACTTGGAATATTTCTGTAGTTTTTGATAAAAATATAAAAACATGTGTTTTTGTATTCGTGTAATTCCCATGCATTTATACATAACCCATCAAAAGCATTTAACTTTCATAGGTATTCAATATATAATTTCATAGGTATACAATTCAATATCAAAATACGAGGTAAACCTGCAGTATTTTTTGGGAAAACTCACAGAGCTTAAATGTTTTTTTTTAATAATTAATGAGATGGAAAACCAAGATTCTAATACATTATGTTACAACAACAACATATTTCTGATGTCGTAGTAATTAATTTGATCTAATTTATTGAACATTATTGAGAGATTGAGGCGTTTGAAGTTGAGCATATTATCGTTTTTTCCGTAAACTAGCTGCGGTAGAACGATCAGTACAAAAAAAGTAAAATAGTATTAGCAAATATTCTACATTAACTCACAATAGGAAGAATAAATCAACTGTTTACTTCTACTGGTAATAGTCAAAATCATTTCTAAAGGGGTAAACGAGGCGCTCAAAAATTTTTTGTAAAAAATCTGAAAGCAAATTTACATTTCTCATTATATTCAATTGGTTAAATTAGCATTTGACATAATTTTACTTGGTCAAGTTATAATAAGACAAATGTTTAATATATGCAAATGTTTTATTTTAGCAAATATTGTATTCCATAAATATTTACTTCATAGACTCAAGCTATAACGTAGTTTAGGTTAGGTTAGAACGCAGAAAAGTAGATTAGATTAGAACTGCAACCCCAACAGCGCACCAGCCGGGCGAGCGAGCCTCCGTAGCGGCCGGCCCTTATTGGTCAATCTAGTTTGAACACTTGCTTACATTGCAAGCGAATACATTTGGCCACCACTCCGAACCAATGTAAACGTGCTGTCCGACGGCCCGTGTTGCCGCTGGCGCGGCGCGGCCGGCCATTTGCCAAACGTATGGGAACTCTAACGTTTGAGATTTAGCAGTCTCTAAAAGTAATACATGATACAAGGTAAACAGAAATCTCATACACTTTATATGAGATTTGAATAATGTTGACTGTTTGTGTCATGTACACAAACCAAAAATATTATCAGAAAGTAAATAAATGTCCAGTCCACAAAGTATCGACTCAGTAAGTACACGCCTCATTATGATATCACAAAGTGTACGAGATTTATATTTACCTCGTATCATGTATAGACTGCTAAATCTCAAACGTTAGAGTTCTCATACGTTTGGCAACACTGCGCCACCACACAGGCTGTCGGACAGCACCTTAAGCGAGTGTCCAATTAGGGCGGGCCACGGCTGCAGGCCGCCTCTGTCTTTGAGACCCTTTTGAAAACGTCATTGTGACGACACGGCCGGATGACAGATTTAGTGAAACGATCTATACGCATATGCGGTAATACTACCTAGGCTTGGCACAAGCGGGTGCCCTTGTATTCGGTTTTAGTGAAAGTGCTCTGTGGGAGCTGTTAAATCTTTGTTAGCCGCTGGCACGTGCATTGTATGTACTGGCCAGATTACTCTTACTTATTTTTCCCTCACGTTGCAAAAATAATACTTTTTTATCTATTCTTGCAGGTGAAGATGCTTCTAACGAAAATCGTATTCGGTGGAGATGTTTCCTCGGTAGAGGGAGCCACTACAGGTTCGTGATCCTTCCCCCTGGTCTCCAAAATGCAAAGACACGAAATAATCAGTCACTGAGACCATTCTTTTAATCTCCGCTAAACAAAGACATAATATTTTTTATAACAGGTACTTTTAATCGTGTGTTTTAAATGTATAAGTTAAGCATGTAGATGGTTCGTTCACGATTCGATATGAGGCAGTGTTGTGACGAATATTTATAAATAGGTTATAACATTTTTTTTTTATTTCATTGTCTATACGGTTTTAACTATATGTAATGCTAGCCACGATATTAAATACCCTAGATACACCAACACGAACAAAATCATGCCCGAAGCCTGTCCACGAGGTACATTGGACGATCCACGGAGCTCCGTAAGACGATCGCGTAGTCTAAACAATATAAGGAATTATTTAAACATTGAAAATCATCTTTAATGCATACTATATAAGCTCTTAATGAAATCGCATGCGTCAAAGAGTTATGACAGCCCGAAATGTAAGCTCGTAAAATTTTACGACTTATTGCTATATGCGGAAGAATATAGACCTTATTTGTTTGACTCTACGCGCAATTCTGAATGCGATGTTAGCAATATAGCAGGTACGGACCGCAAGGAAAAGAGACTGCTATATTACCGACCATGCATTTGAATATCATAAATATTTTCTATTAAATCAGTTTATAGTAAGTATTAAAACAAAATGTACTTCAAATGCGTTAAATTAATAAACATTGATTAGATACCTGTCGAAAAAACGTCATTTTAGATACTATAAGTATTTTATTCGCATTTTTTCACGGAGCTCAGCGGCATGTTTACTTTTCAACGGTCCGCGCGTGACTGAACCAAGAAGTGCTTGAGTCATGTTCAAGCACTTCTTGAATGTGACATTTTGAGCGTTCGTGGTGTATCTAGGGTATTTAATATCGTTGAATAATAGTAATAAATAATAGGCTCTGTCCAAATCATTATCATCGAAAGTCGTACTTTAAAGTTTCGCATTGCAATTTTATATTTATTTTCTTCTAGTATGGTAGTAAGTACATCATTAAAAGAATAAACGTGCAATATTTTAAAACAGCACTTCGATGGCTATTAGAAAAATTGGTAATGTACAGTCGAAGAACGTGGTGACCTGCAGTTTTTATCTGTAAACGCTGCATAACTTCAGGAGTTTACAATTGACATGTTTTAATTTTTAGCTAGGTCCTTCAATGGAAGACCTCGAGATTTCAGACAATTAAAAGAAGTTAGAAAATTGATATTGAACAAATTTACTTTTATAATTTCAAAATGAACTTTATGTGGGCTGAACTGTAGTGTGGGTACTACTAGAGTAAATTCTAAAAATTTTCTAAAAATTTTCTAAAAATTCGGTCGCCTTAATAATGAGTCGTTTTCGAGTACGGCCTGGTGTACACTAGCTAAATTAAAAAGGAAGTTTTTTATTTTTAAACTTATTAGGTACTATTTACGCAGAATTAATAGCATAAGTAACAAACTCGAGCTTGATTTAATTGTTCACTATCAATAATTTATGGATAGATAATTGTAATGACAGTCCCTTGTAGTTGTAATGACAGTGGGGTTTTTATTTTGTTTAATATTCCATCATGCATAGCCAAGCTCTTCGATTGTACTGAAAATTCGTTCAAAAGGTTTTTTTTTAGTAATTAATTGTCTTCATAAAATCGTTATAGACTAAGAGCTACTGAACCCTCCGAGTAACGGTCTGTCTGTAAGGCTAGAAATTCTTATGGTGATGAGTCATAGCATGCTTAGTACGGTAAGCATCGTCTGGCACTCCTCAGCCCTGCACGTCATCAAGCCGTACATTTTTGAAAGTGTCAAAAAAAATTTAAAAAAAACTTGTTGCTGTAAGCTTGAAATTTCTATACAATTTAGTTTATTCATTTTAAGTTTAAAAAAATGACAGGCGTTTACGATGAGCACAAGTACCCGCCAGGCGAACCGGAACGTGTGTAATATATACATAAAAATGAAATTTATGTATGTGTTTGTTTAAGCGATTTAAAGTCATTAGGTAGAATGCCAGGCGGTTCTGGCTAGCACATGTCCTTGCCAGGCGAGGGGAAAGATGCTGCGGCAGTGCGAGTAAGAGTCGTAGTATGAAAACTTACATAATTTAAAATTTGAAATTAATAATTAAAACTCATAATTTGAAATTAATTAACGTTAATTAATATATATTTAGTAGTGTGCATATTTCTGTGAAGTAATCGAAGAGACCGAACCGAAAAAAAACAACTCGATACTTTAAAAAGATGTAAGTTCATAAAAATATACCTGCTGATGATGCTGGTACATTAGATGAAGTCGATGTTTTGTTCTGGCAATATTTTTTCATTACGGTAAGAAAGTTTTTGTTTCACTTCATTATTATGAACTTCCTCTGGCAAAAAAAGACATTAAATTTTAAGTTATGTTGTTTTCTAATATTTAATATTGATTTGCTTTTGTCTAAAGAACTTGTTGTAAATTTTACAGTTTTGTCATCAATATCTTGGTTCACACAAACAACGCGAGCAGATTCCATTTTACTCACTATTTACTTAAATATGAATAGTCGTTGGCACAACTGACATACACAAGAATAACTGCATAATTAATATTAATACTTAATTGAAATTTTAATCATTACAATACCTCACAATATAAAACAGTGAAATTCCGTTGTTACTTCCGACGGTTTTTTTTTCAGGTATAGGATCTATTTTCCTGTTAGATAAACAGTCTCAATCTCACCACCGAGTTCACGTTGAGCCGCTTACTCGCACTTCCATAGCATCTTTCCCCTCACCTGGCAAGGACTTATGCTAGCCAGAACCGCCTGTCATTCTACCTACTTACTTTAAATTGCAAATAAAATTATAAAAACTTTACCTAGTCAAACAAATTGCAAAAAAATTGACACGACAGACAGAGAGACTAAGTTTTTTATACTTTCCAACAGTATGGGTATCAAATGAAAGAACTTTTTAAGAATATGAGGTTTTTGAAGTCCTCGATTATATCCAGCGATACTAAAAAGTAAAAAATAAATTTAAAGTAAAAAACATATAAACAAACTTTTATTTAAATGCGCTAAAAGTAATATATTGCTGAGAATGAGTCAAGTGACGCTGAAGAACACATTAAAGGTAATACACATTTCATAAAAATATATGGAATTCTATATAATTGAGCGCAAGGTCAAAGATGTAATGTTATTCTTAATGTATTAAAACTTTGTTTCTTTTTAGATGATGAAATTAGCAACTAAGAATCCTATTATGATGATGAAGAAAGTGATGATAATAAAGATTTATTAATTAATTTAAAGACTTATAAAAAAAAAAATACCCATAACTTTTATTTTTACATCATTTAATTTGCATCAATAATATACCGTAAGTTTTCATACTACGACGCTTACTCGCACTGCCACAGCATCTTTCCCTTCGTCTGGCAAGGACTTGTGCTAGCCAGAACCGCCATGGCATTCTACCTACTTACTTTAAATCGCTTAAACAAACACATATATAAATTTCAACTTTACAGAATAAAGTTTATTTTTATGTATATATTACACACCTTCCGGTTCGCCTAGCGGGTACTTGTGATCATCGTCAACGCCTGGCATTTTTTTTTAAACTTAAAAATGAATAAACTTAATTGTATAAAAATTTCAAGCTTACAGCAACAAGTTTTTTTAAAAAAATTTTTTGACACTCAAAAATATACGGCTTGATGACGTGCAGGGCTGAGGAGTACCAGACGATGCTTACCGTACTAAGCATGCTATGACTTATCACCATAAGAATTTCTAGCCTTACAGACAGACCGTTACTCGAAGGGTTCAGTAGCTCTCATACTATTAACACCTAAATGTCTAATAAGACATTTAGGTGTTTCCTGATACTCTATACGTTTATGAATTAAGGTTTTTAGCATTGTTATAGTAACCTAGTATGTAAGCTTGATTGATACAAATCTTGAGTTCCTTTATTCTAATGTCTTTCAAGCAGAAATTGTCCATTTGATTTATTTATTCAACTATGAAAAAGATAAAAAATTCTTATAATGTTATGCGAAATATACACAGTGACGCCTTAATTATATATCGTCGTGCTTGATAACTGTGATGAATTCACAGTAAAACAATTGAGTTCATAATAGATTGCGTAAGTTGGTATGTACTTACGAAATAACAGTGTGAATTATGCCTTGTGCAGAGTTGAATTTGATAATTAAACTTATTTTATTGCGAACAATCAACATTAATAAATCCTGTTATTATTACCATTTATTTATACTGATACATATGTATATTCTCTTTTTTATAAACTCGTATGTTTAAGTATCAGGGCACATAATATTTTAATAAAGTTTATGAATTTAAAACAATAGACGCTTGAAGCTTTCCATTGCGTACCTATACTGAGAACAAGCTGTTTGAAGTTCCTTTATATCTACTGAACAATTTATATAAAAGCTTGTTAAAGATAAGTCTAAGTTTGAATTTACATTTAAATTTTATCTCCACTAATGTGCAATAATCTAGGAAAATAAAGATTCTTTTTCGTATTAAAATCTATCATAAAAATGAAACAGCATTATGAGCAATTTGCATTAGGAATGTCGCAAATTGAGCGAAACAAATTATCTTTTTTGTTTAAATATAAGTTTTTCTTTGAATTTATCTTACTATTTATTTTTTATGTACGGTCGCGGTCAGACAATGTTTACCACCTTAAGGATCATAATTGCATGCACACGTTTAGGTCACAAGTTCTAAATGCGCAAACACAGCGCACAGTAGGCAGCATCACTTCTTCCGAAATCTACACATAATTAATGGCAGTAGCCCTATTCTCTAACGACGCCAGTTCTCCGACGCCGTCGAGGCTCATCCATCTCCATATGTTTACTGTTATGCGACCTGACTCGTTTTGAGGCACGATATGAGCTTCATCATACCAAGTTCGATTATAGCGCCATAAAGTTAATCTTCCGATTTGGCTTGATTTAAAGGTTTTCTCATCGATAAATATAGTATTCGACCAATAAAAATAGAGATGTCGTCGCACAAAGTTAAGCCGGGCTGTTTTGTGGCGAGGTTTCAGCTCCAATTTAATAGCATGGTGTCTGTAGTGTAGTCCAGCACTGTGCAAAGCTCGTCGGATCGTCCGAGCACTCACATCATTAAAGCAGCAAAATAACTAGTTGGTGGTTGGTGTGAAACCGTTCTCTTCGTAACGACAAATCATTTCTGTTATTGGCGCGGCGGTTAGTATTGGTCGTC